TTATTTTTTATTTTACGTATTTACGTAAATTTTTTTTTACATACATGCATTCGCACATATTCTTTAGCTAGAGAATTTATCACTAATTAAGCTGATTTTCGGTGATATTTCTGTTGTTTCTTTAATCATTAAACATATTTTTTTTTTTATCTTGGTCCTTTTTTTATTTACAGAGGGACATCTCATTAATACGAACTGCTCGCAGGGGCACTTTCAGGAGGCTTTGTGTTGCAAAATGTCCGCCGAATTGGATGTCTTCCTGGCCAGCGGCAAGAAGTAAGTTTGAAATTCTTTATGTTTTGTTAATGAAGAAACTATGTACCTAGTCTTATGTTGTGAAATGGTATTATTCATTTTGGTACATATATGAAGAATTTTAGAAATATGTAGCAAGTAAAATGCTGTGAGCTATCGACATCGTTTATAGGAGCTTTCCCAACTAGAAGCTAATTTGGGCCGTTTTCTCAACTAGGCTTTAAATTATATCTGCCTTTTCTTCTCGAAAAATTATAAATTTTAAAACCTACTTGAGAAAATTTATGAAAAACACTACGTGCAACTGAAAAATCTAAGAATGTCAACAGAATAAATATTTTTTTTAATGGATAAAATCAAAACAATATTTTATATGTACAGGGTTTAACCCTTAACATGCCATGCTGCTGTAGACCACATTGCTTACCAAGCTGGGGTTTTCTGACGACTACATGATTATTTTTATTTTTTTTTAATGTTTTTTTTTGCGTTAGATGATTATTTAAATAAAAGTTTTAGGAGTTTGGAGATATAGTACTTCAGTATTCGGATAATATTTTCTTGGAAATAAATTTTTATTTAGATTAAAAGTATAAAAAATGCATACATATACCCTTGCGAACAAAGAAATAAGCTAGCGACCATTTGATCATTTTTGGTTATTTTTGCTTTCTTTATTTAATGTTTATTAATTTTTTATAAAAGTCTAACTCAATCCAATTTTGTTACGTACGTATTTATTTTTTTTAAGCTTTTTTTCATAGAACCAATCTAATAGTTCATTTCCACCAAGCCTTAACTGCAATTTACGCCTATTGAAAAAAAGAGAATCTGGTAATTGGTCTTAATAACTACAAGCAAATGAAGGTAACAAACCAAGATGTAAGAAATCAACAATGTTAAAATTCTTGGAACTTATCTGAGCTCTTAACAGCAGTTAAGCATTTGGGGGAAATGGACTATTAGACACATATATGTATATAAAAATCAACTTTAAGTCGTTTGTTGCACAACTACTAACTAGTATTTTCTAAATTTTGCTGAGATATACGCTACCAGAGCGAGGAACTCTGTGCGGTCTTCCGAGGACTCCGCTTGGTCTGTTAAGGGTTAAAATTCACTATTTTCAAATATAGCAAAAGAGACAGTACAGAGTCTACTAGATCATTTTAGTAACGAAAGTACCGGGTAGAGTAAGTTTCGAATGACGAGAGCGACTTTTGGGTTGCTTAAGAAACGTCCGAAAAAGTATTTAAATCTTTCAATGACTTTTCGAATATTTCATTCATCGTAATCAGGCTTGCTTTTTTGTCTTAGGTAAATTAGAAACTGAAAGTGCTCTTGACATCTGGCGAGATGTGGCGTGAAAGCAATTTCGTAGCACACAGTGACGTCCAAAGGGCACTTAAGATATTGGAAACCGATGGGGCCTTTTTTGGGAATTGTGCAGGAAGAAGAAGATTGTTTCGAAATGGTATTAGCTTAAACTTCTACGGATAAGAGAAAACACCGGTTATCAAGGGAACGAAGCCGGTGAAGTGGTAAACTACAGGCATTCGGAGCATCAAATTGGATCGAAGATAGAAATTGGGACAAGTAGATAAAGGACGAGCTATCAAGTACAGGATCTTCTGAATAAGACTTGTGACAGCCGTTTTTGTGATAGTACTGTCTTCAAATCAGCTAAGCACTCCATGAAAAGGGTATACATGGTATTTAATAGCGAAATTGTTCCTTTTTTAACAGAGAGAATGCTAGTTACAAGTCCATGGTAGGGCTGATTAGGGGATATAATAACCGGGGACTAGATAAATACGTATGGTCATCAAAGATATCATCACGTATTCGTTGTGCGCATCAGCTGGGAGAATGAGAACGGAAAAGGGCGCTTTCTTTGTAAGGTGGATTGATTTTTTGTTTGAGAATGGGTTAGCTAAGCTCTGTGTTTCACGACTTGCCTGAGGAATTTGAATACATTGTTTCGGCTTTTAGAGCAATAGCTAATCATGCCTGAGTGTAACTAGAAAATCAATTCGACGCAGTGCCGACCTCAAATCCAACTTAACCCATTTTCTGTGCAAACGTCAAATTTCGAAAATAGCAAAATGTATAATTTTTTGAACTTTATGTAACTTTGATAATTTCGGCTAAGTTCGGTCAAGCTGACCTCAACAGAAATGAGAAAATGGGAAGAGCGCGCTAAGCTGGTTTCCCTAAGGAGCTAAAGCCATTTGTTTGAAGTTTTTTAGTAAGAAAGAACAAGAGAAACAAGTAGCTTTTAAATTTTGTGTTGCCTTCAAAAACATTTTTCCGAACAAATTTTAGAAGATTTTAAAATTGCCTTGAAAAAACTACAGTAAGTAAAGTAGTACAGCAATTATGTGTATGTTTGCGTTTTACGTCGTGAACGGGCTAATAAAATTGTTCGGTCGTGAATGGGTTAATAAGTGTGTTTCCTTTGAATTTGAAGCCCTCCTTAATTTTGCACAAAAAAATGATTAATTGACCTATTCCGCATGGCAAAGATATCAATTTTCCATTTTTGTACAAAAAAAAACTATATTAATCCGAAATATTTAGGTTAGTCATTTTTTTTCGAAATTCGCGATTTTTGCTATTTTCGTTAGTTGCTCTCGAGTCCAGATTTAGCGAAACGTTTCTGTATTCTAAAACAAATTCCTATAACCGAAAAAACTGCATTTGCAAATAATTTTTTTGGTCAAAATTTTTTACCCACATACAAATTTTTTATTCAATTTCCTGCAAAAGAGTTCCATCAACCACCATAAATAAATTTTCCAGCTAAGCCCAACTAATGCTTTAAAGCCAAATCAACGCGAACTAAATAGATTTTTTCGCCTTTATCCTTTTGTTTGTTACGCTCGAGTGCAAACAAAAGCCGGATAAATATTACAGCAGTGGCAGCAGCAGTAGCCTCCCAGCAATTTCGCAGCTGCTAAGCTATTGTGTTAAGCCATGGCCAACATGAACGCTATGCGCCAAAGGGTCTCTCGCCCCACTCGCAGCTGTTGCGGTAGCTGCAGCGGCAGCGGCCTACCTAGACAATACAGATGCAACCGCAACAACAAAAACAGCCACAACAACAAGTTTTGTGTGCAACATTGCGGCTAAACTGTTGACCGCATCTGCATATAAAATTACCATCACCAACAGCAGCAACAACAAAAGCAACAGCAGCAGCAACAACAACGTATACAAAGCCTATGAATAGATAAAGTGGCTCCAGCATCGATTGGGCCTGCAACAGCAGCGGCGTCTATAGCAGGCAATGAAGCTAGAGCAGTCGGCACAGCTGCATAGAGGAGAGCAACAACCGACACTGACGGTGTTGGAGCGGCATTGATGCAGGGCAGGGCATGGCAGGGCAGGGCAGCGCAGCGTGGCTGTGAAGCAGTGCATTGCAGCTGGGGAGCTAGTGTTGCCATTGCCGTGCTTGTTGCATGCAACACAAGAGTACAAAATGGGATTGTAATGGAGGTAGGACGTATGTAGATATGTAATTATGTTTGTCTGCTAGTGTGTGTAGGTTCATTGGCCTTTCATTGTTGGTGGTGGCTGTGGTGGTGATTTGCATTTGATCGATCGCATAATTACTGAGCTTAAGAGCTACAAGCACACATGGACGCTAATACACAATCACACTGGCATACATAAGTACATGCCAATATGCATATAAAGGTACTTACGTGCGCTTGTTCGCACATTTGTGACATGTTGCAAGTTCGCATTTGAGTTGCTTGTGACATGTGTCGCAAGTCAAAGTGCATGCGATTGCGTGAAGGCGGTGTTGCCTACTTCTGCCCATATGAGATTTGTCACTCTCTATAATGCTAGCAAAGCATATGCATCGCTGTGCGATTTTCAAATACAAGCTCCCACTTTTTTTTTTGCTAAAATCAGCAGACCTACCCACACACACGCATTTGTAACGAACTCGCTATTCAATTTTTACCCGCGTATATTTATGCTGCAGCCTACTTAAGACCAATTGACGCTTCTGCACATTTGCGTTTACACAAAAGCTGGATTATGGTATGTTAGTTGTTGTTGCTGGTGTTGCACTAAATAGTTGCAGGGGTTGTTAAAAAGCTAGACTGCATAAACTCTCTTGTAATCAAGTGAAAAATGAATGGCTCACCACCTTCATTGCCTTCATTGCTGCCATTGCCTCCATTGCTGCTGCCATGGCCTTCGTCGCCTAGTCGTTATCGTCATCATTAACTTGGTAGTCAGTCAGCTTTGGCACCACCATTGCATGGCATCCCATTGAAGCGTTGCTTCCCGTTGGAAATGTGTGCTAGAATGTGTTTTGAAAAACGACGTATGCATTTGACTAATGAATTTGATGGCAAAATTATTGCAGTTGCCAACTTTAACGAGCCGAAAGGCAATTGGCACTGTGATTACCAGAAATGATTCGGTGGAATTTTAAATGTAGCATTTTCTTCTCTAGCTTGACAAGCGATCTATTGAATCATCGTAGGTAGCATCAGGTGCCTACTTAGGTGATTATATACATACAGCTCTTGGAAGTATATTCACATCTCTACATATACGCTTGTTTGCTTGCTCTAAAAGGATCGTACATACATCAAGCGCGCTATCTAGTTAACGACTGACATTGCAATTTTATTGTTTGCTTTGATTCAGAGTTTGATCAGCTATGGCTATTGAATGCAATTGAAGGAAGTGAATAAATTCGATTTTAACAATTCGTTTGGTGCTTAATCAGTATTTCTTAAGTCGTTTGTGATTGTGATGATGAATTTAATGGGAAAATGATTTGTGTATTTATGTGTGGATTTAAGGGAATATGTAGCGATCAAGGGCATAGTTCCAATTATAGTAAGTGCAACTTCGAAGAGATCTCCTTGCATCCTGTAAGAAAGTAGACCATACGAAGATAATAACTGAATATTTAAACTACTATCTAATGTCTTTAAAGCAGGGACCGTAACAGCTACAACTTTTATTAAAAAAAGCGCTCTTTAACAATTATATTTTGACTTTTATTTAACCCTCCGATGAGTGACAGTGCCGATGACGTTAGATTCGTGAGAAGGTCCTTAGGGACCTACAAAGAGTTGCTCGACGTTTCGACTGTACATGTGAAACTTCTTTGGTATTTATGTTTTCTTTTGATTAAATTAACGTCCCGCATATATATTAGGAATGAAATAATTTGAAGAACAAGTGAAAAAAGTCAAATTTTATTGATGATTTTTTATGGCATACAAGTAACAGAAAATGTGAAAAGTAATATAATGTAATATAATGCTTTTTATTCGCATGAGTTTATGCAGGAGTTCAGCTATGACATCGATGCAACGTTGCGGAATGTTCAGCACAGACTGCTTTGTTGCAGGAATAGCAGTATGACCTGGTTTTGCGCTGGCGTTTATAATGTGCGCGACATAAATGGCATGACGGACGATTGGAGCGTGGCGCGAATTCAGGTGCAGTTCCTGGGGCTGACCTTGATATTACCTGTAAACATAGAAAGCGCAAATTATTAGCACATATTTCCATATCTAGTTGCATGAGAATTTAATTTTGGATATACCTTTACATCAAATGCTTCCATAGCATTACAAATGTTGGGATAGCAAGTTATGCGTGCGTTAGTGCCGCGGTCTTCAATATTTGAAATCGCTAGTTGTTTCGTTAGTAATTTTAAGAACGATCGTCGCTTATCAGATTTTTTAATTGGATCCATTTCGTCATATATTATAAATGCGTCTAACGCGGCAATATCTACCATATTGTAGAACATTGCAAGCGACCAGCGTTTTGTGGATCGTTTGCATGAATATGTACCGAGCATTTGATCCATGGTATCCACCCCAGATTTATGGGCATTGTAGTCCAGAACGACCATTGGTTTATGCTTTTCGGATTCATTATCTACATTACAAGTATAGTGCATTGTGGATAAGAGTAGGACCGATTTATTTTTCTTTGGCACATAGGAGCACAAAGAAACTGAGCACAATGAGCTGAAAACGGTACGTGCCGAACTTTTTAGAAATTCTGGCGGGACAAATGTTTTATTAGAGCGGACTGTTCCAACAAACGCAGTTCTTTGCCTCATTAATGACAGAGCCACATCCAACGTTGTAAAGAAGTTGTCAGTATATACTGTGCGACCCGTGTGAAGGTATTTTCCAATCAACTGATTCACAACGTTTTGACCTTGATTAACCTCTCGCTCTTGGCCTGCCAACTTTCCGGCGTAAATATTCCCTTTGAGAGGATAGAAAGACTTTGAGTCACACAACCACCAAATTTTTATCCCGTACTTTGCGGGTTTTGACGGAATATACTGCGTAAATCGTGTTCGCCCTCTATATGGAAATAACTGCTCTTCTACTGTAAGTGAATCGTGAGGGTTATATGCTGCTGCTAAATGGTTTTGTAACATCAACCAAACGGCATCGATAGCAGCAGTTTTGCTTGTGAGTAATCTCTCCGGCCGTGAATTCACGTTATCAAAACGTATGCATTTTTTTATTAACATAAATCGGTCATATGATAATGCCGCCTTGTATATTGGAGCATGTGTTGGACTCCAGAGTTCTTTTGCTGGCTCGTTATTCGACTTCGACAGCCCAGCATGCAAAACTATGGCGAAAAATGCATCAAACTCTTTAAAATTTAATGGCTTCCACACCTTTTGTTTCGTTGGATTTGCAGCATTCCACGAAGCAGTCACCTGATTTGCCTTTCGATTCGTTTCGCGTATGATGATATCAGCGATATCTTCAGTGATCAGTGAACGGAAGATAGTTATTGGATCACGAATAGTCCCCACTGGCCCTGGTTTAATTCTCGTGTAGTCGACGATATTATGTGCACGAATCCGAGAGTTCGGTGGGGGATCCTTGTACCATTTAGAGCCATTTTTAGATATGTAGTATCCACACTCTCTCTCAACGGGAGTTAGGTTTGCTATGTTTGCAGCACCTTCGTCATCTTCTTCATCTACCTCTTCGTTCATTTCCACATTCACTTCGCTTTCGATGTCAGATGCATCAGAATCAATTTCTGGTCGATAAGTTAAGTCAGCGCCATCTTCACTTTGGACGTCCAACCCATCAGCATTATCATCATCGCTTACCTCATTCATATACCTTTCAAAACGTTCATCAATGACACGCCTTTCTTCCTCAGTCATTCTCTGGTAGCGTGTACTATTTCGCAGAACCATGTCCGCAGCTTCCCAACCTGCATCTGCCATTGCTCTGAAAAAATGTCCAAAATCGTTTGACTTTCGCCTATATGTAATGCACTCCAATAATTACCAAAAATAAATCCAACGAAACTCGTACAGGAGAAAGGAAAATATTTACGAAATTTATGTTTCTACTACACAAAAAGTTAGCCGATTGATCCTGAACAAAAGTACACGCGGTTCTCACAAAACACAAATTTCTAACACTGCAGTGCACTGTAATAACTTCCGAAAAGAAATCTAATAAAACTGGCACAGAAAGAAATTTATTTACGCAACTGTTTCTACGGTAAAATAAGTAGACAGACTGACGCTGAACAAAAAAAATGCCACGTGGTACGTATGCAACAACTAACGGTAAAATAACACGCCAGTTGTTAGAATTCATGACCAGTGCAAAATACATGCTTCCAAATTTACTGTTGCTTTTAAGTTTATTTATTTTAAGTGAAAATCAAAACATGAAGACAAGTAACTTGTTATTTCTTCTAAAATTGTACAAGGTCCCTAGGGACCTTGTCATTAATCCCCGTACTATATATGTTGAAATCTCAATAACACTCGAACGTGATCCCGTATCCCTTCGAAACTTATTTTAAACGATTCAGCTTAATTTATTCTTGGAATACATGTATAAATTCTTTTCAAAAATGCATTGAACAAAAAGATATAGGCACATGAAATACGAAAAGGTCCCTAGGGACCTTCTCACAAATCGAAGGGTTAAAAAATCCAAAATAACAATTATTTTTGATGTTTATCTAAATAATCTGCAAATAACAGTTATTTGTAATTTTTAAATTATATGTCTTAGATAACAGTTATCGAAGACTTGTATTTATAAAAGTCTTCCATAAAAATCAGTCACTGCACTTTATTTTTTAAATCATACTTATAAAAGTCATTTGCAAACGTCGTAGTAAACTTTTATTTCCCAACAGCTTCTTAACTGCGAAAAATGTTTATGACTTTTATACGCATGATTTAAAAAATAAAAGTCACTGACTTATTTATATTGATGAATTTTATAAATAAAAGTCTTCAATAACTTTTATCTAAGACATATAATATAAAAATCAAAAATAATTATATTTTTTTTAATTTTGCATAAAAATTGCAAATAAAAATTTATTCTCAAATTTTATTCTTGGTTAAAAAAGAAATCGATTGGTATGTACCACTTAGTTGTAGAACATTTCCTTCATAGTGAATTTTTCAATGACAGTTTTCATCAATAACTGTTATGTTCGGTCCCTGCTTTAAAAAGAACTATGATTATCTAGTTGCCGATATGATTATGTCATTTACGCCAAAAACCAATTCAGCTCCACATTACTGCGATAAATGTGGGATTCTAAAACCCCATGGACTTGACACAAAACCACTTTATTGGCTCTTAAGATATCAAAAGTGAGGTATACATTTAACAAATTTGTTTCTATCTATATAAAAAAGTTCACTTCTTGTTAATGCCCAAAGGTTCTTCTAAAGAGGTTGCCTGCCATGTCGAAGAAATTCATCTTGAAAAAAAAAAAATCGGTTAGGCCGGGGTACGGCTCAGTTGAGCCCAAAGTTCGTATACAAGAATTTCTTCCGTGTTCTGTCTGTCGTCGCTATTTCCTCTTCTTTCGTCTTATACATTTGTGATCGACTCTCGGTGTCTTCATTTGCTGTTTTCCTCTGCTCGAAATTACCACTTGCTATCGATGTATACCGCTACTCTTCCCTCTCAATTCATGTCATGTCTTGTCTCAGTTGACGCCTATTCCGCTTCACGTTTTAATTGTTTTCTGCAGACATATTTATGTTTGTAAGTTTCGTATACTAGCCATGGGAGTCAGCAAGTATAAATAAAACGCCAAGTCGGCCGGGAAGTTGTTCTAAAATCTTTCTGAATATATATTCCGCAGAGTGTAGAGTCAACGCCTTTACCCCTCTCTGAGAACGTTTTGAAGCAAGTTCTTCATTACCAATATTCCCAAAAATGGCACATACACTCAATATATATATCTAAAAGGAAGGTTAATAGAGGCCACTCTATGTACACGAGCTTGCTGTACTACGAAGAGTTAAGTAAAAGACATTGGGGGCGCCTTTAATAATATCAGTGTAGAATCTATACGTGAGGCATTTATAGAAATAGGGCTAGCATTCTGCAACCTGTAGGATGGTATCTCTGTTAACAAGCAGAGTAATTTATACCATTATTTATTAGGTTCCCAAAACAAGTCTGCAGATCTTGTGTCTTGTGTTGGCTTATGCCCTCAGTTGTGAACGAAATAGTGGAAAGCGATCTAAATACAGCGGATTCCCTTAGAGT